GGGGCTGCCCCGAGCCCGGCCACGGCCCCGGCTCCGGCCGCGGGGGCCCCAACGGCCCCGATCCTGCCCGGGGGGTATGGGTGCGTGTGGCTGGGGGTAGGTGGGTGTGGGTGTGCGCGTGAGAGAGAAACGGGGATAGTTGGGTATGCGTGTGTATATATATATGTGTGTGTGTAGAGAGCGAGAGACGGAGGTAGTTGGGTGTGCATATGTATATGTACGTATGTGTAGGTGTGTATGTGTCTGTGTGTGAGAGAGAGACGGGGTAGTTGGTGTGTGTATGTATGGTTGTGTGTGTGAATGTAATTGAGGTAGGCATGTGTGATTGGGAGTAGTTGAGTGTGTGTGTGTGTGTGTGTGTGTGTGTGTGTGTGTGTGAGAGAGAGAAAGAGAGAGACTGGGGTAGTTGTGTGTGTATGTGTGTATCTATGTGAGTGTGACTAAGGGCATGTGATTGATTGTGTATATCTGTGGGAGTGTGACTAGGGGCAATTGGATTGATTGTGTATGTGTGTGAGCATGTGACTGAGGAGTAATAGGGGATGTACATGTGACTGGGAGGCAATGGGGGGGTGCATGACGGCATTAATGGAATGTGATGGGAGGTAAGTGTGTGTGTGTCTGTGACAGGGTAATTGGGTGGTGTGTGTGTGACTGGGCGTAACTGGGCGTATGTGTGTGTCTCTCTGTACATCTGTGTGAGGGGTTGATTGGATGTGTTTGTGACTGGGGAGCTGTGTGCCTCTGTGGGTGACACAGAGAGACCTTGTGATTGTGTATATCTGTGTGAGTGTGATGGGGTAATTGGATATATGTGTAATCGCGTATGTGTGAGTATGATTGAGGATAACTGGATGTGTGTGGGGGAGTATGACCGTGTGTGTGTGTGTGTGTGTGTGTGTGTGTGTGTGTGTGTGTGTACGAGAGAGAGACAGACAGACAGAGGGAGAGCCTGGGGAAATGTGTATGTATGTGTGACAAAGACTGTGTGAGACTATATATATCTGCATGAATGTGACTGGGGGTAATTGTGTGCGCGTGTGTCCGAATGTAATTGTGCACGTATGTGAGAGAGAGAAAGACGGTGTGTGTGTGATTGTGTATAGCTGTGACAGTGTGTTTGCGGCGGTAAATGTCTGTGTGTATGCCTGAGTGTGGCTGTGTACAGTTGCATAAATGTGACTTTGGGTGCTTTAGAGGGGGAGAGATTGTGTGTGTGTGTGAAAGAGAGAGAGGGATGTGTCAGAGTTTGAATGGTGAGTGTGATGGTGGAAGTTTGTGTGACTGTGTTCGTGTACTCCCTCCTCTCAGAGTGGGTTGCAGGGCGAGGGGTGTTTAGGGGAGACCTGTCCTTGTGTGTCCTTCGGGGGAAGAGGGCGAAACTGTCCGCGTGTGTGTGTGTGTCCACCACGGGTGAAGAGGATCTGTCTGTCTGTCCCAGTGGCTCAGACCCAGTCCCGCCAAGGCACTTCGCTCCAGGGGGGTCCACTCTTCCCTAAAAGCCCTGGAACCAGCCGGGGGGATGTACGTCCGTGTTTCTGTCCACGCCTCCACGCAAGACAAAGCCAAGGAGGAGCGGGGGTGGGGGGGAGAGGGAGCAGGGAATCCCTCATCCTGGAAGGGAGCAGGAGTAGGGGATCCTTCCCTAGGTGGGGTGGGGGGAGGGGAGCAGAGCCAGCCCCCGCCCCCGCCCCACCAGGAAGGGGAGGGTGGAGGAAGGGAAAGGGGCGAGGCTTTCCCTAGGGAGTGCGGGCTAAGATCCCTCCTTCCCCAAGCGATCGGGGTCTCTGGGAGCTCAGGGAAGGGGGGCCCAAGGCAGGAGAGGAGAGAGGGTTCTGGTGGGGGGGGGTTGC